TGCACTTAACAAATGACAACAAGGTGTAAAGTGCAACTTAATTTTACCTTTAATGTATAACTACAATTTTCTACGTACTTCAATATCTAATTATATTGTACAAAGTATTGTTTTTAAAATTATTGTACATGTGTAGATAGGGCTGGGCGTTGGTTTAGTTGGAAACTTTAATCAACTGAAAATTTTCGGTTAATAAGGTTTTTTTTTTGGGGGGGCTATCCATCTTGAAAACCAGACTTGAACTAATTTTTTGGTCCAATTCAATTTTAACCAAAATTTTGAATTATATTAAAATTTCCAATTAAATTTTCATTTTTTTATTTAAAAATCTCGTTTTGATTTGAGTTTTTCAATTAAACCAAATTTTGTGTACTAATTTGGTTAAATTAGAAGTACATTTTGGTTTTACAAATTTAGAGTTAATAATCATAACCAAACCAGAATTTTAGTTTGGTTAAACTTAGTTTAAAATAGAATTAATTGTTTAAACATTTAACCAAATGAAAAAAATATGATATGATTTGTTTTGGTTATTTGGTTTTTCAATAATACAACTAACCCTACATGTATCAGTCATAGTTCACACTAGCCTATATATATATATAAAAGAATTATTTTATAAAATAAACTGTATACAGTTTATTTTATAAATTATTTTAATGTTTTTAATTTTTTTTATTATTTTATTTAAAATATTTAAATAATTTTATAAAATAAACTATACACTCACCTTAAAAAATAGTTTTCTGTAAAAAAAGAATCATTTTACATCATTCATTTTGCATCCAGTCAGGGCATTGTAATTTGTAAATTGTAATGTAAATCCTCTTTGTAGTGTACAAGTAAAAAAAATGCTAAATGTACTCGACCTTTTGCCGATTTAAAAAAGGGCAGCCAATAGGGTGCCCAAGCCCAATGCAAACCCTTCTCATACAACTAAATTGAATAATTTCACTGTCGTGACCATTAATGTCCACGACAAACAGTCCTTCTCTAGTCCTTTTCCGTGGCATTTCCTTTTTGAATTTTTCACATGTTAATCATAAATGCAAGTTAAATCAGACCATTAAATAAAATAATTTATCTTTAAATTTTAAAATATTTAAATTAATTAATTAAAATTTTAAATTTTATCAACGTTTTAAAAAAATCTCCATCCCCGAATCGTAGACAATGCAAGCATCCCCACGGTTACTACCTAGTAGTCGTGGTTGTATCTCTTACCTGCAGCACCTTTCGCTACCACCAGAACAGTCCTCCAAAACCACACTCCGCCTTTCCGCCTCCTCGACACTAACCCGACAACGCACCCTGCTCTTGCCCATCATCGCTGGGTATTCATTTATTTTGGTAGAAGTCATCATGTTCAACGTTAGAAACTGCGAAAGCCTCCTCCCTACGCCTATAACCTACCCACTCATGCCACGTGTCTTTACGACTGTGGGACCCACAAAATAGATCTTTCTCCTCCCAGAGTCCTA